GTATAAGACGGCAGGTATCTTGCATAGTGTTTCACTCTTTTTCTTCTTCTCTCTCCATTCGAGATAAACTCGTAGAGTCGTTACCAGCTAGTTGCAATATACTCCTGGGACCGTTACATACGGTGCCGAAATTGAGCTGTTCTTCAAGGCCCGGATTACGCACATCACCAAGCCCGAGTTCTTCCTTGCATTCAAAGCTGCCTTCTACCGGACTTTTACCCAAGAAAACTCTCTTGGGGGTTTTCGAGGGTCTGGACTTATCCCCTACGACCCGCAGGCCGTACTTTCGAAGCTGGATGTCAAGTTGCGGACGCCAACACCCCCTGGGACCCCTTATGAACCACAAACACCATGGTTCTCAAGACGCCCCAAACTACCAACGAGGCCCTTTCGCAGTCTACCCTTATCAAGGATCAAATTGTGAGACACCAGGGAAGCTCTCCAACTCCGATTTTAGCTGCTGTCGACCAGCTTTCGAAGGGAATGCAAGCGGTTTCCTATCGGGTTATCCTTTTAGAGGCCGAGGTACGGACACTTCAGGAGGCCAACGAAGCACTTTCCAAGCGCCGCAGAGCCAAACGGACGCGTCTCCAGGATGGTGGGGCTATTAATGGACCCAAGCCAGGGAAAAAATGGCAGAGAAGGGTGTGGTGGAAGAGGAAAGGCGCGTTGAGGAGGAAAATGAAGGACCATCAAAGAGGCGTCGGACGGGTTCGCGGCTCTGTGGCATCTGCCGCAAGACTGGCCACAACGCAAGGACATGCCCAAAGACTGGACAAATAGATAGCTCAAGCGATTCTGAGTAGTCTCAATTGATCGCATCAGATTTTGGTGGACTTTTGGCAGTTTGTAGTGGTGTGGTCTAGAAAAGTGTCCCGGTCGATGGGGGTGTCCCGCTCGATGGTGGACCACGTTATATATCAATACGCTCCTTATTGATAAGCTTTGGGCATATAAGTTTGTCGAACGTCAGCTATAGCTCCATATATATTATATTTACACGTAGATATAATCACAAAAAGGCCAAGTGCGAAGATCTGAAAGTTATTGCTGGATAGTTCGCGCTTACATGGTGTACTAAGGCTAAGTATAGGATCGTGGACAACAATGTCTATACTTTGACGAAACTAGGTTTATAATGGGCATTATCTGTATAGATATAGTGGTTACGACCTCAAATAGCCTTAGGAAACTAAAACTAGCCTAGCTTGGCAACTACGAATCGGCAATGGTGCTCTAAGGAGATAATATCCTCGGCTAAGCTATCTATCCCTTTATTATCTTAGCCTATAACGGAAAGCGCACCCTAGACTCATACTCTCATCCGTGGGTCATCAGTGGGTAGCCTATGCGCCCACTCATCTCTTTCGCGTCGCAGACGCGCATCCTATTGTTGGAAAGCCAATAGCAACGATTCCACGGTGACACGCTTTATGAGAGCTGTTGAGACAGTGAACTTTTCGAATACCCGGGACTGTTGAACTGAGTGGGTTCCTTGGCACTAAGATTCACGGACTGAGCACTGATGTTCAATGCGAGTCTCTCAGTCAACACAGATCCATCACAATGACGCAGTTCCTGACATAAACGTCATATCATGGCACACTGTCTCTATATAAGGGGGTAATTACCCTGGGAGGATTAGAGAGGACAATTTGTTCCAAAAAAAAAAGGGACATTCTGAGGCACCCTAACCCACTATCTTGATCCTTCATTTGTGTGGTCACTTTGGAATCGTGACTCCAATTCAAGCTTCATTTCATGCCTCAATCTATTCAATACCACTTGGCTGATCTCGTAACGGGCTGGGCCCGGTACGAGCCTCGGCGACTCTCGGCCAATACCAAGACCCCTGATGAGGCTATTCCCACTCGCCCCACAGCACACCGAACCTTCTAGCAACGCGCTCAGA